TTTTTTTTTTTTTTTTTTTTGTTTTTTTTTTGTAGCTCTCGAATAGAAAATATAGTAATGGCTTGCGAAATTACGTAAAATATTAACTTACACGAATGGGACGAGAGCCAAATAGAGAAACTCACCCCCTTGCTCAGAAAATATGGAACACTTCAAAGATGGAATAGTCGGTGAGGACGGCCTCCCATATGTTTGTAAGCTAGATTAGATATTTCAGTATTATAAATGGACAGTAATTGCGATACGGATGCGGTATTCAAGCATTCTGATTGGCTGTTCTTTTTTTCTTTGGCGCAATGTGGTTGGTTTATAAAAACGGCAAATGAAACCTTTCGAGTGTTGAGTTATCGTGTGATTATCCGCCCACGTGCTCCTCTATATCACCTATACATCGATTTAAATTAATGCCACTATGTTAAATAACATTATAGGGGCGGATCCAGGAGGCCAAAAAATATGAAATTGCAAGAGGATGCTGCAAGAGAAAAATAACATTGAGAAGTATTTTGAATTCAGCAAAACTCCAGTTTCGACTTCTCTTTTCTCAGCCTTAGTCTCGGTTGTGCGTTATTGTATTCAGCTATTCAACCAAAGACCATGGTATTTTAATAAACTCGTATTGTTCAGTAGTGCGTACTTTCCTTACTATCCCCGTTCGTCATTTAACAAACTAACGTCACACTTCATGATCCAATTTATCCCTAAGGGTGTAACGTAAATGCTTCGCATGTAAATCTGTAGGCTCCTAAAAATTATTTATCTTATGGCACACTTTGAGTACAATAATAATGATAATAAATAATAACTAATAATAATGATTATTATTATCATTATATTTTTTTAGGAAAGTTAGAATACCTAAGGTTTATGGTTTAAACCCGGTCAGATTGAATGAACTTTATTGAAAAGTCAAGAATAAAATAATAATTATTATTATACAGCCTCTCATTAATCCCATATAGGTAACTGTCCAATTATTTTCTTAATCGGACAGGTCTTGTAGATATGGAATTAATTAGGCAGCTATATAATTAATAGGTAATGGGATTTCATGCTCCCCAATCAAGAAATAATTAGACTCGAAAAAT